GACTTTTTATTAAAGATTATTAATAGTAATATTACGGCGTTTAATTTAGTATAAATAAAGGGGATTATACCGGAGGCGCGTTAAATAACGATTTCGCCTATCGTAATGACGACCTTAACGATAATATTAATCTAAGGATTGATCCTAAATACCTAATAAAGTACGAGGTCGATAATATAGACACTACTTAATTATATTACCGCACGAGAAGTATGCAAAGAGAACGATCTAGTAGTAGCTAGTATAAAATAGTTCATTAACTTAAAGAAGATCTTTTTAAAAAAGAAATTATATTTAGGGGGGAGATATAAGGTCCTATAAAAAACCCTTATAATGTTTTATAATTATTGCGAAAAAGTCGGTATCCGAGAATATTAATATTATTCGGTAATTAATATTATATTAATAAGGAAAGCTACCGAGTATTATTATTAAGCGGTGCGTAATATTAATCGAACCGACTTTCTTAATATTATTAATATAATCCAAAGTCGATTTAAGACCTAAGATAGGAGCTTCGAGCTCCTTTTAAAGCTAAGAGCATTATTATTTAGCTCTATAACCAGAATAATAGAAGGAAAGTCGAGAATTAAGATCCTTAAAGAGCTTATCGACAGGATCGATAAACTAGCAAGGACGTAGCCAAATAAGGGGATTAATAAGCGAAAAGTCGGTTATTTATATACGGCGGTACAGAGGGTATTAGAGGTAAAAATAACTCTATATTAACTACCTAAGGACTATAAAACGCTATGCTCGAGGCTAAGGTCCAGCTTTAATATCAAAGCCAGGATACTAAATTAGACTCACCTCCAATCTTACAAAGGCCCTTACTAATAATACTAAATAAACCGCATATATAATAATAAAAAAAGAGAGGCAAGGTATAATAACCGCTAGGGGGGAGGAATAAACTCCTTAAAGGGGCACTAATCTAACACCAACCAAGCATTACGGAAAAGGAAATACTTTATATACAAAAAGAAGGGTTATTAATCAAGTAACCACTCTAATAAGGAACGTACTAAGTCGTACGACTAATATAAAAAAGTAAAAGGTACATAAAGCAAGACGGGCTATAATCGATTTAACTAATTCCTAGTAGTCTATAAGGACTATTTAACAAACGTAATCGAGTTATCTAAAAGTAAAGAAGATCTTACCCCGTATACTCAAGACCTTAATTTTAACGAAGTTAACGATATCACTTATTCTTTCTTTACCCCGTTAACCTTAGGAGGATATATAATGCTAAACAAATAAAGAGCGGTATAAGCCCTAAATAAGCAGGCTTTCCTCTATAGTTAGTAAAGGAAAGTCCTTTAATTAACGATAACGTTTAATAATACGGGGAATATAAATACTAATATTATAATTATAGCTCATACTAAGGTTAAAGGGCCTAGGGAGGAAAAGAGAACGATAGGCTTATAAATACGTAATTTATACCTACTAAGAGGGTTCTACAGTAATCTAGTATAAGTATTCTATACTAGCAAAAAGTATAGCTCGGAAACCTTCTACAGGATTATTCTAAATACCGGGGTATTATAATAATCGACGGGGGGCAAGGGATAATTCTATATACTCCAAAAGATCTTACTAATAACCCTTAATACTACAAACGCAGGCATTACGAGGATTAGTTTCGGCCTAGAAGAAGAGATAAGTACTTTAAGTATTATAGATATAAATATACGATTCAGAACAATGATTTTCTATATTCTACCCGTTAATATACTATTCCTCCTATACCTAAACGACATAGATAAATTAGATATTATATTTAATAATATAAAGAATAGAATATCTAATAGAAAGTATTTTAAGCTCGTTAATTAATAATAGGGGTATACGTTTATAAAGCTTAAACTAGACGTTAAGTCCATTAATTACTTAACGGAAAGTGAACTTAAGCGACTATATCGACGATTTAGCCATCCGTTAGCGACGAGACTATATAATTTCTTTAAATATTTAGGGAACGATATAAAAATAAGGGCTCTAAAGTAATTAACGATGGTGTACCATTAGTGCCAAATGAACGCCTAGAGCCTATATAGATTTAAGTTTAAATTATACAACGACCTTAACTTTAATTAGGAAATCGTTATTAATATTTTCTATTTGAATAGTCGACCAGTATTCTATATAATCGATAAAGCTACATTATTCTAAAGAGGCTAATTCTTTCGAGATATATAAGCTAAGACTATGTAGGTAATACTAAAGCGCTATTAGATCGATATATACTAAGGTCTACTAGATAGCATTAAAACCGATACCGGCATCAGCTTTAAGTCGGCGGAATTTAAGGAGAATATTACTTTATACGGTATTTAACTAAAAATCGTCCTTATCGAAGTATACTATAGTATTAATAAAATAGAAAGATTATACTAGTAGTTAAAAAGAGCTTTTAAGATTATCTAGAAAGAGAGCCCTAGTTTAACGGACAAAGAGTACCTCTAGACGGTACTCAAGTACTATAATAATACTATAGGACCTAAGGGGCTCGTTCCGACGTTACTTATGTTCGGAATATACCTATGAATGACAATAGCCTTACCGCCGTTACTAGATATAACCTAGAGGGTATAAATAATCAAGAAAATAATAAAGACTTTTTACAAGGCAAATACTAAAAGGCAAGTTAATAAAGCTATTACTATACGCAATGGGCCCGACGTAAGCCTTAACCTCGATATGCCCCTGAATTCGGAGGTATAGGTATAAAAGGAAACTATAAAGTAATAGATAGGCCTATATAAGTTAGTTTTAATTAACGAACGATTTTATATCGTCACGAGAGATCGAGACTAACTACTAAAGGTATCAATCACTACGGTATAACCGTACTACATTAACCCTAGCAGAATAATTTCCAACCTATAAAAAGAAAAAGAGCTAGGGGAACCACTTTAACAAAATAATAAAGGACAACTAAATAATAAAGGGTAAGAAACCATCCTTAACGAGATCATTATCGCAACACCTTTAAACAATAAAGCAGAAAAAGAACCAGTACCCCTACCGTAAATAAAATACCGAAGAAAACCCTAAAAAGCACCTTAACGGTAATTCATATCTAATACTAAAGCTACTACTATCTTCTATACAGCTAAAAAAAAAATAAACTTTACGATAGCGGTTAAGCTAAAAAAATAAAGAATAATTATAATTATAAAACGACCGTATAAAAGCTCCGACCTTATTAAAGCCGACATACTATACAATCGAAGGGTCTATAGATTCATCACCTACAACCTAAAAAAGTACGCGAACCTCCATATTTTTAAATTACGAATAGTCTACAAAATTAAAGGAAAGGGAATAAATTAGCCATATAAGAAATTAAGGTATATAATATAAGGTTATAGCGACGTCAAAAAGGCGGTACTACTTATATAGTTACTAATAGTTTAGCGCTATAATTAACGATTAATAATAGTATTAATAGCATTATTACAGTAAAGAGGATACTAGATCTAAAATCGTAATATCACCTAAGCATATACCTAATCGGCAATAAGGCTTATAAGGAAGATATTAGTTTACTTACTAAAGGAGATAGTAAATAAATACCCGGACAATACGATTATCAAAATGCTAAAGCTACTTTACGGCCTTATAAAGTTAGGTACTCATTAATAGGTAATATACCACAATTTCCATATTAACAAGCTCTTAATAATTATATCGACGTACGATCCTTACCTCCTAGTTTCTACATATATAAACGATCCATTTAAAATCGTTGGAATATAGACCGACGATATATTAAGGCTTTCTAATACGGCCTTTATAAAGAAGGAGGATAAGGAGCTAAAAAAAGTAAAGTTTACCACTAAACCAAAAAAGATCCTTATAAAGGATATACTATTTACATTTAACGGCGGGATCCTTACAATCAAGAGCGAAAATATCGTCTTCCAATAAAAAGGGTAAAACAAAAAAATCACCCTTATCGACCTAAAAGCAACCGACTACTAAAAGCAGTATAAAGTAAAGCTCGCACAAGGAACTTATATCGTAAATATCTATCAGCCAAAGGCCATTTTTAACTATACAAGGGCAGTACAGGCTACTTCGCCAACAAAATACAACTTTAACGTCCTTAACCGACGGCTATAATGGTAGCAAGTAAACCTTAATAAGGGGCTCGTATACCAACCTATCGACTTAAGGGAAGCAAAGCTCTATATATTTATCAACGGCTTATTTACAAATAATAACGACCTTATATCGTAATTAGGATATATAATAATCCTTATTAACGAGGTAATAAAAAAGGAGAACTTCACGATCTACAGTAATATCATCTATTACTTATTAACAAAGAATAAAAGGGTTATATAAAGTATACTTACCTTAAAGGTCTACAGTATAATTAACAGCGTCGACATTATATATACGATCTTAACGATACTAAAGAGGATTACTAATCGACTTAATATCCCTACAATACTAATAATCGTTTATACCGATTTATACTTACTATATAAGTACCTCGTCAAACTAGGTACTATAAAAGAGAAGAGGCTAATAATAAATATCATAACCCTTTAATAATCATATAAGCACTATAAGATCCTCGAGATCCGTTAGATTAACAGGGACGATAATCTAATAAATACTTTTATAAAAGCAATACTTAATAAAAGGCTCGAATACTTTATCGGTAAAGGAAAGGCGATAATATAAATAAAAGAATAGGTAACCTATAAGGAGCAGAAAAAGAAAGAAAAGGGGGCAGCCTCGGCGAAAGAGCCCGAGATTAAATTATACTTCTAACCGCCATAATTAGGCAATAAAAAAGAGAGATAGTTAATATCAGATTAAAAGTCTAATTCGACCTTAAAGCAAGGGGCCCGCGCAAGGGCCACTTATAGACCATACTTACAAGATCTACAGTCTACCTAACCTCCGGTTAAAACCTCCTTTTTATACCTTACGTAGAAGTTAAATATATATAGATTTTAACCTCTTCGTCACCCACGGTTCGAACTATCCCTGTGATAGGAATACCAACACCCATCAATTGCCAGAAGCCGAGTGGTCCGCTAGACGAGCCAACATTTCCGCAAAGCGCGGTCCCTTTTGGATTCTGGGAGGAGAGTGCTAGCGAAGTGTTCAGAGCAGCGGAGACTGTTGTATCTTTGATCCGCTTGTCAGGTGGCAGTCTTCCACACTCGCCTCTCGTCGCATTCGTTATCTACACGGCATCATTTGTGGCCATCTATGCTAAATATTTTCCACACATGGATGTTCAGGGCTCGTTGTCCAGGAATCTAGAACTGCCAAACCAAAATTTCGGGGCTCCGTCGAAAAGCTCTTGTAGCAGCATGACTACTATCATGCTCGACGCCCTAAGGAACATGGCAAAGCATTCCGGAGTGGCAGCAGCGTTTGTCTCAAGATTTGATGAAGTGGATCAATACTTCTTAGCTATGGTTGAAGACCACCATCATAATCTCAGATATCGTACTTCACCTCATCTACCGACGGGCGGGAAGCTTGGTGTCCGCATGGGGGGTGATACTGGAGGGCTGGAAGAATGGGTGGAAAATTCTGACAGAATGGTCAGCAACAGCTCGATCATCAAAGATGGCTATTCTAAGCACCATCTCAACCGGACACGCCTCGAAAATTCGACTCCAGAAAAGACCACACAGCAGGATGTCTCAGCACGGCCCAACGCGCCTATGACGCTACCCGAAGAGTCTCCTCTAACGTCACTAGAATCGCAGATCCTACAAGCTATACCGGCCATCGAGAATGCGTCAGGCGCCGAGAACCACAGCCAACCTCCGCCATTGCCTTTGGTACAGGTTACGGACGAAGACCCATCCTTATTACCAGAAAGTACCTGTACCGACGACTGGAGCTGGGCATTCCTTCACGACATGTATCTAGGTAGTGTTTCGTTCGATTCGGAGGATGTCGAGCCCAGCTTCAATTTATAATAGAAATAATATAGGTAGAGCGCATTCAACGACACAATATGGATTGACAGATGACTCTGTGTGCCGGGATTATTCACAACATTGTGAGCCCGCCTTCAAACTTATGTCTGACTGCCATGCCACCCACATCCACCACATGATCGGAAAACATTCGTGGCAACACACCTGCAAGCTCCGCAAGTATGGTTCTAAGGTCAACGCCAGATTTCCCATAGTGCTACTATTCACAAAACTACATTATGCTGATAGTCTCGTCAATCCCTAACACAAGAACTTAGACTGCTTGTACTTTTCGAAAAAAACTGTTTGAGTTCTTGAAGTGCTTCAGCGCTGATTGTGACATTGACCATATCCGAAGAATACAAGCTGTTGGAAGTTGCCACGTCAGGGTTGGGATAATACCAGCAAGCGATGGCAATGATTGCATACACAACCTAAAGTGATCAGCAACCACGCACAGTCCCAATTTGTTGATTAGCGAAGGAAAGCTTACTACAAGCAAAGCACCTTCGAGCCAATTTGATTCTCCATCCCGCAGAAAATTTCCCACAACAAGAATTGATAGGACGAGAAGAGCTATCATGAATATCTCGAAGTTGAGATCCATTGGTTTCTGTAGAGCCCATCCGACCAATACGACCAACGGTCCATTGAAGAGAGCCGTTTGGATGGAAGGAGCTAGGCAATGATAAAGTGCCACATTGATGACTCCATCTAAAAGTAAACGTCAATGTCATGTACCTAACCAGGAGTCCCGACTATCCTGCCAGAATTCTGTTACTCACCCCAAGCTTCATCAATGGCGGTCAAATGTTCCGCTGCTTTCTCCACCAGAGGAAGCAAAATAAGTCCAAGGAATTGGTCCGGGATGCCGCTATGGACGACATGTTCAATGCCTCGAACCAGGAAGATGAGAAGAAGCGTCACTAGCACCAGTGACATGAGTAGGGCGATTACAGCCTCAGTTAAGGTGAATTTGGGCTTCTCCATATCCGCTTCACGGTCGGCATCGCGGTGCTCATCTGTCTCAATGACCTCATCGAAGATGCTGTGCTGACTACTGGCCTGATACCAGACATAAAGTAGAAAGGCAACGATGAGAGCAATCGAGGTCGCCCGACTGATGCGAAGGACATCAGCCTGGAGAGTGCCCTCGGTGAGATTCTCATGTCTCACCCATAGCCCCGGGAGGTTTGTATATGTCTCTGACTTGAGGGCAGAGTAGAAGGCGCTGGGTATCAAAAGTCCAAAGGCAGCAACTAGGAGCAGTCCAGTGCCGACCTCGGATACAATAGCATGGAACTTTTGACTTGCATGGCGGATACCCCCGAAAAAAAAGCATAGGCCAAGGCAGAGTAGCAAATTCGTCAAAATGCTCCCAAGAATTGCAGCCTGGATAATGGGAATTAGATTGTTTTCGTCGCCGTTCTCCTGGGAAGCCGACGTCTCATGTTTCAGAATGAGCACGAGGAATAAGATGATCTCGACAATGGATCCAAATGTTGTCTCGATCAATATGCCAGCAACCTTGGGCATCTTGCGGGCGAATTCTTGCCCGGCAAACCCAAGAAGGTTCGCCGATGGCACGACAGCCACGTAGGCAGTCGCAAACTTGGAGATATGCAGGCCAGGCAAGAACTGCATCACAACAGCAACCGGTACAAGGGGCCAGAGAACGTTGACCATCATGGAGGCAGTGCATGAGCTTCGCCAAAGCACAGAGAGGAAATGGCGAATGTGGAATCCGCTCCGTCCACTTTCGCCCTCATGTGCAATGCGTCTCGAGATTGAGTGGTGTGCGATGCGGAACGCGTTCGTTGGGAGGAGCGGGGTTGATTCGTGGCTGTGCTCCACGACGCCTTGGGCGGCCGGTGGCGAACTGCTGACTTCGTAATTGTCCGCCATCTTTCAAAGGGGACTTTCTGAGAGGACTAATTGCGTTTCAGAAGGTAGAACGACTGGGTGGAGAGGAGGTTTGACTGATGATAAAAAATACCCAGATCCCTAGGGGAAAAGCAAACTTTTGTGTGGAGAGCATGGAAGGGATACTACGAAGCTGATTTCCTAGCTCAAGTGGGAAATGGGCATCGGTATCTAAAGGTCTTGGCATGAAAAGAACTTGGCACCACTTGTGTAATGCTGCTCGCAATCCTTGCTCTTGATGCACTTAAGGGACGCTAGTACGTAGCTAGTATCGCTTCCGTCGAATATAGTGAACGAATCCTTCTATGCGCAGTTCAGAGAGATGAAACGATTTAGGTATTTCTTAGAAAATATCTAGCACGATAGGTATAAAGAGGTAGGTAGAAATATTCTTATAAAAGAATATAAAAGATCATATTTATATAAAAGTAAGAATATATAAATAAAAGAGTAATAAGCGTATATAAAAGAGATTTATAATTATAAATAGAATAATATAGTTAGATTACTATATAAGAAGTGATTTATTTAATAAAAGGTCTTAATAAGTAAAAAGACGCTTTTATATAGGCATAAAAACCTTTTATTAAAATATTCTATTACTTATTAATTAGGATATAATTAATAAGCGTATTTATAAGTGATTATATAATTATAATATATAATACTATCTTAAATAAATTCTAGAGTATTCTATTACCTTTTATTACTCACGTAAGCTTATATACGCAGACCTGCTTATATAATTAACATCTATATTAGTTTATAGTTCTTATAAATTAATATAATATATAATATACTTACGTAATATAGATAATAAGGTAAATAATAAAGTAAACAATGTTACTTTTTTAATAATTTTCCTTTTATATAATATATTATATATATTAGTGCCCTGGCGGATGCCTCTGCCGAGGGGCCGAAAATATTTATATGAAAAGCTATTTTTATTTTTAAAGTCCTTAAATTAATTCTTTATTACTAATATATTAAATATATTATATAGTGGTTTTTTTCTAGCTTTATAAGCGTAAAAGATTAACCTTAATAGGATTAGCTTTTAGAAGAAATTATATAGTATAGTACGTAATTTAATTATATAATATATATATTATACTCTATTTATATATTATATTACGATAAGAAACTCGAGGTAAGTTAGAACGCTACTATATTAACCTAATAGACGTAACTTAATATAAAAAGGGAAGAAATAAAATAATAAATAGATTTTAATATATTAGGCTTTTAGGCTTAGCGGTTTAAAAATTACGTAACCTTTAAAAGGTTTATTAGGTACCTAAAGTTCGGGCCTACTAAGGACTAATATTTAATATCGTAATATTACCCCCCCCCCCCTCTAGTATAAAAGGCGCTATTTATAATATTTAAAAATTATCCTAAATCTTTTATATTAATCCTTTATAAGCTTTTATATTTTTAAAATTTTTAATAATTAATATATATTATAATTATATTATTATTTAGTTATAATAAAATAAAATTATTACCGGCTATAGCTTTTATTTATAATATAAGGTTCTAGGATAGTCCCGTAATAATAAAATATTCTTTATAAAAGGCCTATAAGGTCACCGGTATATAACGGAAGCTCTTTACGTCGTACTGTATTAGATCTTTATTATACCCTTTTTAATTAATTTAGTATTATAACTTACCGTTCTTTATTTACGATCTAACTACCCGTAATATTTTATATCTTAATTTATTAATATTATAATATACCGGTAATAAGGGTTTTTAATATTACCTAAGTAGGGGGTCGTTAGCGGCTTTTTAAAGTTTATTTAGATAGAAAACGGGATATATTTTATTATTTATAGGTAATTCTATAATCTATATATTCTTTAGGCCGGCGCTAATAATCGGTTATAGGCTAGCCTAAGGCTATTATAATTTATTTATATTTATCGTTTTTTGATAAAATATATTTATAAATACCTTATTATTAATCTTAAAATTATTTAACTATTAGTAATAGTTAATATATTTCTAATATTATATTTAGGCGACCTTAATATTTTTTTTAACGATCTTTTAGGTTTTATAAATACTTGAGGCTATATATTAGGTATTATTACAGTTTAGTTTCTTTTTAATTATATTAAAACGTCGGGTTCTAGCCGTTTAATTTAAAAATAAATAAGGCTAATACCCGAACTTAATTTTATAAAGTAATAGCTTTATAATTTTATCAAGCTAGGCTATATAAATAAAATCTATTATAAAGAGTATATTATTTTAGTTATTTTAATAATAATTAATTAAGGGCTATAGGTACTAGAGGATATATTAGTTTAGGATCTCGGTCTATTTATTTATTTATAAGTAATCTATTATTAATAATCATAGTTTAATACTATAAGGTTTATATAATTCCCTTTAAAAATCTAATATAAACTAAAGGTTATAGTCCGAAATAATAGTTTTTAATAACTTAAAAATTAAAAATATTTTTTTATAAAATATCTTATTTATATCCTATATTATAATGGTTTTATAGTAAGGTATTAAAATAACTCTTTTATTTAGCTTATTTATTATTATTTATATTGAGTTATAGCCTTTTTAATTAAGGGGTATAGCTATAAAATTTATCGAGATATATTATTATAGATAGTTAAGGACTAATAAGGGCCTTAGCTCTTTTAATACCTTATTATAGGGTTTTCAAAAATAATAATATATATAGTAATTTTAAATGTATTAATATATATCCGCCGTTAATCCTAGTTAATAATATCGTTATTTAATTATTTTAAATATTTTATTATATTTTAAGTAAATAAAGAGCTTTTATTTTTAAACCTTATAAATAATTATAATATAAAGGTTCTCCTTTTTAAGAATAACGAGCTTATTATTTATTATTAAGAGTCCGTCGTTTTAGACTTTTTAATATTTATAATCTTTATTTATTAATATATATATTAGAGTTAATAACTTTATTATAAAGTCTCGGTTTAGTTTTAATATCTTTTTAATTAATAAGTACTTTTAAAGTTCGTCCTCTAGTATTAACGCCTTAATAATAAGCTCGGATTATTAAGCCGTTATTTTTAATAATATTTATAATTTAATAGTTATATTTAATAATAGTAGTTCTAGCGGTAATAAGATTCAAATATAGTTAATCTTTTTTAGGGCTTATTAAGTTTTAATATCCTCTATTTTTTTAATAATATATTAATTAATATATTCTCTCGTCCTAATTAATAATAAATTTAAAAATTAAAATCGATTAGGGTATTAACTTAATAAGTTTAATAAAGGTTTAAAAGGCGCTTTATTAAAAAGAAAAAAAGTAGTTAATAATCTATAATAATATTAAATTTCTAATAATAGCTTATTAATTTTATATACTAGTCCTTTAAGTAGGTTATTATTATTAAGGGAATTAATATACGGGTATAAAGAATTAATATACGGGCATAACTCTTATACGGGTATAATAGCTACGTACTATTATTAGCTTAAAAATATATATAGACTATAAATACTTTATCCTAAAGGCGGTAAAGGCTCTCTTATTAATATATTCTTATCCTGACGAATTTATATAAAATAGATTTCTATTAGATTATATTATATTTATTTCTAGCTTTTATTTTTTATATAAAAAACCCTATTTTTATTTAAAGCTCTTTATTAATAAGCTGTTAGTTAGTATCTTAATAGTATGGTATTCTATATCTAGGTTTTAGCTGGATGTTCTTTTCCGAGCCTTTATATCTCTTACTAAGCCTATTTTAAATATATCTCTATATAATTAACTTTATTTATATATTATTTATTTTACTTTTTATATCTTTTTATTATAATATAGATATTTATAAGTCAATAGATAGCGGATAAATAATAGATCCTACTTAAGCCCTATTTAAATAATTATATCTGTTAAGGGACGGCCTTATTACTATTATTAATTAATATTTCCTATTCGTACCTTCTTTTTCGAATACTTATTTATAATACCTATCTATTAACTCGTACTTTTATAGATCTCTTTATATTAAGTTTACTAGACTAATTTCTAGTATATAAGTATAATAAGGTTATAAATTAATTACTCTTTTACTATCCTCCTTTTTATATAAGCCTTATAATAATTACTTTATTATAACTTCTTAATAAACGGCCTTACTAAATTATCTTTAAGGCTATTAATAGCGTTTTTTTATATTAATCCTCTAGATTATTATTCTCTTTTATAATAAATCGAATAGGGATAGGCTATACTATATTCTTTAGCTTATTATAAAAGGAAGTAATAATCTTAAGGTCTAGAATCCGATAATACGGATCTTTAAAAAATTATTTCCCTTAATCTCTAATAAAAATAAATATCCTATTTTATAAAAAACGTCCTAGTTATAAGCCTTACGTAAATTATATAGTAATAAGGAATACCTAACTTTACTAAAGTAAAATAGTCATCTATATAATCTCTAATAAAAAGGGGCTATAGATAATTACCGGTCAGTAATACTATCCTTATTATCCGATATTATTTTATAATTAACCCTAAGTACTTTAAAAAAAATATACCTTAAAGTTTACTTAGGTATTCTAAACTAGTTCTAGTATATTAATAGGTAATTAATACCTTATCCTTTATATAGGACTATATAAACCGTAACTTTTAATTTCGAATTATATTTTATATAATATTAATAAGTTAGTATAAATAACTTAGGTTATTAAGAAAATAGCTTTTAATATTATTATTATTAAACTCGGTCCTTAAGGTAATACGAATATTAAAATTTTAATATTTTTAAATATAATACCGAGCTTATTAAGCTTTAACGGGAAGGTATATCCTATAAAGATAACATAATATTAGCCGCTAGTTATCAAACTCTTTATAAAGACTAGCCTATACTTTTTTATAAATTACTTTAATTTCTATAAAGATAATAAGCTTTTATATTATAAATAGTCCGTAATATATATAAAGGATTAAATCGCTAATAGGCGTATAAATATACGCCTAGTCCTCGTTATTTAATTCCGTTCTTAATATTCTTAAAGGCTTATTATCGTTTTTATAGTCTGAGCTATTACTAGTACCCTTTACTTATTTTCCTTTTATTTATTTTTATTTAGCTTTAAATATAACGTTAAAGTTAATATAATAAATATAAAGTTATTACTATACGTTAACGAATTTATAAGCTAAGGCGGCCTTTATTTACTTATTAAAGTTAATAATAATGATATTTAGTAAGTAGATTAAATACTAATTAAATAGTTAACGGATACTCTCTATAAAGAACTAGAACCCTTTTAATCTCTTATTATTAATAAGGCTAAACGCTATATTAAAGATAGATCTAATATATATCTAGTTAATAGCTTAAAATAGCCGAAACTTAAAGTAATTTATATTATATATATTATTAAAGC